AGGGCCTTCACTGGGCTGGAGGAGATTTGGAAAAGTGAAGAAAGACACACAGATTTTCAGAGGTGGGAAGCTTAGTGTGCTATGATCAGGAGAAGGTAAGAGATCTGACTTTTCCATATTAAGGGCATACTCTACTTTCCTATTTCTAAAATGATAAGGTTTTAAAAAAATATATTTATTTAAGTAATCTTTATACCCAACGTAGGGTTGGAACTCATGACTCTGAGATCAAGAGTCTCACGTTCTTCCAACTAAGCCAGCCAGATGTCCTTCTGATAAGGTTTTAACTATAATTAGTATGCTTTACATAAAGTTTTGGTAACTAGACTTAGTATTTTTACAAATAGGAAGTGCTAAATCATTAATATATTTTCTTTGATTTGTCTTTGTGATGTGATTCTTCTAATATCATTGTTTAGGATCTTGGGTGGTTGATACAAAGTGGCTTAACAAAGTCAGAAGAAAGGCAGTGTAAATGTTTCCACAGATAAAGATAGTGAGCACTAAAGAATGTGAGCATCTTGGCACGGTTTGAATAGCAAAATTTGAAAACAATCTTCATTGTCCAATAAGTGACTGATTAAATATATTCATACAAAAAGAAACCATGCAATAATTAAAAACAATGCTGTAAAAAAATGAATTCATTGACATGGAAAGATATGTTAAGTAGAAAACTCTGGCTACAAAACAAGATCTCAATATGACCTAGTTTTTATTTTAAAAACATGTCTCTGTCTCCTTCTATATCTTCCATTCCACTCTCCCTCGTTTTTCAAAAGTATCTGGAGAGATAAACAGTAGAAATGGGTCTGGTAGTTAGCATTGATTTATCTACATGGGAGGAATTTGGGGTGTTTCCAACTGGTTCCTTTTAGTTTATCTGCATTTTCTGATTTTTCTAAAATAAATATGAATTGAATTATAATTTAAAAAGCCATTTTACAGAAAAAGAGAGATCAGTCTAGGAAAGAGTGAGTAAGAGACACCTGGAGTACATATCTGAGGTCAACATCATGCTGGACTATCACCATCTTTTCCCAGAAGAAATCCTTTGATGCCACCGTCAGAATTTAGAGCTAGCTAGATTGAATATTAGCCTGACTCAGCATGGTATTTCTTTTTGCTCTTATGCTAATGCTTAAAAGCTTGAAACACTGCACTCTACTCAATCCATATCATCAAATATTTATTGAGCACCTACTATGCGCCAAGCATTAAGGGTACAAGATTAACAAAACATAGTTCTGTTGCATTTTAAGTCAATATGCACACTCATAGAAATCTGTACCTCTTTGAAAGTCGCAGATGGTTGTTCTGTTGATATTCTTAGGGGGGAAAAACCCTCATAAGCAATCTTCATACAAGACACTGTCCAAAAAAGTTCATCCTAAAAATAATCTATTCATGGTTTTACTGTTTTAACTCATAATATTGTAAACACAATGTAGCATTATGCTGAATAGTTATAAAAAAAATACCCACATATTTGTGGCTCTTCACTATGGTACAAGCACTATTCTCCTTTTAAATCAATAGCCTTTCAATTCTTTTAGTAGAAATTATTTCAATCTGTTTAGTCTTTGAGCCAAATTCTCAATTTGACTTTGAGATCTGACTGAAGACTCCAGTTTCCACATAAGGCAAAATTGTTTTTAAAGGCTAAGCCGGGCAGGCAGTTATGTTTCAAGCTAACGTTGCTAAGCCCTGGGTAACCAACAATTAAACAAATTAACAAACTAAAACCATTTAAAGTTGGACTTAGTGAATCTGAATAATTTTACTAGTTATATTATATATTATAATTTTATGAATTAAAATTTCTATCTCAGTTAAGTAATTCCCATTCTTTCATCTTTGGTTTCCATTAATTGCTATTCCTATATCCAGAGGATTTTCTTTTTTTTGCATTGCCATTATCTTATCATGGAATTTACATGAATCAATGTGTAAAGGAACCTGGTAATCACCTTGTACCAGTGTTTTATTTTGAGGAAGAGGAAATTTAAGCCCAGAAGTAAACTAACTTGTAGGAGTATAAGTTGCTTTGCAGAGTGCCTTTTGAAATATCATGACATGATAGCTGATAGCTATTGTTACTAGACGCTTGTCCCTTAAATTCTTAGTCCATTACTCTACGTGCCTTAGATTATTTCTCCATACTATTTGGTTAAACCATTCTTTGGACTTGTACTCAGCGTAAGACATTATGCATAATGGTTTTTTTCATGGTATTTAATGGATCAATTTATTAATTTAACAAATATTTATTGAGTACTTACTAAGTGTTAGATACTGGTCTTGGCATTAATTTAAATGTTAACAAAAATTATTAAACAGTGAATATTATTTTAATTCTATATAGATAAGCATTTTATGGCTAGTTCTCTCCCCCATCCCCTGCCGTGTGTAGATAGATATGTTTCTTCTTCCTGTGTGAAATCTTCCTAATTTTCTATTTTAATTACCATTACATGCCAAACATGCAGTATTGAAATAAGCTTGTTTCTGAGAAGCATGTCTACACTAAGTCTCCTGGGTTTTATTTTATAAAGAAATACTAATTTCCCCTTTATAACACAAATTCTTTATTTCATAATCTTGAATAGGATGATACTTTCAAAAACCCTTTATCTCATTGGATTTAGGGCATTAAAGATTGCAGTATAATACTTTTCCTCTGGGCCTGCAGCATTTTGATTTTATTGTTACGTAAAAAAACTTTTATTAATTTTAAGACTTTGCTTTCAGAATGAAATGAAATAGTACCTATAATGCTGGTAGGTATGCCAGACCCCAAAATACTGTTTTCCTTGTTTAAATTATCTGTCTCTATTGTAAAACTGGCAGTCAGTTTTTAGTAACTTCTGATTTTTATATTTGCTCTGTTCTTTTTTCACCCCTCATGCAGCATTTTGGTCCTATTTGCTTGCTCTCTCTTTTTGCATGTCTGCCCTAGCTTCTTTTTCCAGTCATTATTTGACTTTACTTGTCTTGCTATGAATGCATCTCAGTCCTTGGATTCCAAATTGCTATTCTATATCCATTTGCTCTGTTCTGCTCTTGTCAGCCAAAATTGTTGTTCTTTGCCTGGTGGGAACTCAAAACTCTGATAATCTTCGGTTCTTGCCTCATTGAGAGATGGGTGATACAAGGCATGGGAAACAGACTCTGTGGTTATACTTAGGATTTCTCCCAAATTTCCCAAAGACTGAGCCTCTAATCTCCATCTAGAGGCAAACAACAAAGAAAGTTGCAGAACCTCAAAAAAGGGGGCTGGGTTGGTGGATTTGGGTAGGTAGTATTTTCAGATCTGGAGCTAAGGACAAATATTATCAAGTTAGTATGGTCATACACATAAGGAGCTCTTGAACTTTTTGCAGGGGAGAGAGGGAAAGCTTAAAAATTGTTTGTAGGTAGTGATATTAAAATGTTACAAACACAAAAAGGTTCCTTGATGCTTGCAAAATAACTACAACACAAACAACTCACCAAAGTTTTAAATCTGATTCATAGGTGTGGTATGAAATAGCACCCTGGATGGGGGCACCTGGGTGGCTCAGTCAGTTAAGTGTCTGCCTTCGGCTCAAGTCATGATCTCAGAGTCCTGGGATGGAGCCCTGCATCAGGCTCCCTGCTCAGCACAAGTCTGCTTGTGCCTCTCCCTCTGCCCCTCCCCTCCACTTGGATGCTCTCTCTCTTTCTCTCTTTCAAATAAATAAATAAAATCTTCAAAAAAAAAAAAAAAAAAGGAATAGTACTGTGGATGCTAAAACCAATGTCAGACTAGCCAAGTTCTAATGTTACACCTATTGATACTATACTAACCAGTATTTCTAAATTTTAGTTTTAGGACACACAGAGCACTAACATACCAATAAACAGAACCCATAAGTATATGTGTCAAAATACAGGAGGAAGACCACAGCTCAACTTTATAGAAAAACCTACCACCATGTAATTAAACATGCTACAAAAACATTTTTGGCTATTTTTCTATTTATATGTACATTGAAGATAGCGCCAAATAGTTTATAGGAAGGTATAAAGGTCATTTTTAAGTCCTGCTTTTGGGTATGTCAATGTTTGTCATAACAGCAGAAGGAAGGCTGAAACAAAGTTGTAAATATCATAGGAAAAAATTCTGTTGGATAAATTCTGTCTTTAAAAACAGTGGCAAAACCCCCTATCTCCCTAGAGCCGGCATTGTCACCCTCCCAATAGATGGTGAGCTTTCAAGCAAACGTACAGTAGAAGGAAAACCTCTCCAGGAACCAGGGTCTTTCCAAACAAGGACAGCAGGTTTCTCTCTATTGTCGCTGCTTTCTCTCTCCTCTGGGAATTGGTTTGCCTTTCGATAGCAATCCAGGAAGGGGTGGTGCGCCCCAAGTTAGCAAGGCTGTGCCAAATACCAGAGGCTCTTCTCTGGAAGAGGGAGGCTCCTCCTTTGGACGTGAGGCGCCCCTACCAGAGCGCGCGCTTACAGAAACGGAAACCACTAGCTGTGCCGAATGAGTCAAGTGATGAAATCAAGACTAGTACATGGGAAGGAAGCTCACCCAATAGCTCACGAACCTAACTGGTGACAGAAGCTGCTGAACCTTGCTCGAGTAAACCGTACGAGCCAACAGTTGCAGCCGTCATGAGGTGGTTCTCGGGGGCACTGGGCCCCCCAGTCTCCGGGCAGTGCACCCCTTCATTTTGGTGAACCGTGGAGAAGGGCAGAAGTGTGTGAGGGGAATACAGACCTTCTGGTTCCCCAAGGACCCAGACTGACTTCTGGTTACAAGGTGACCACTGCCACCAGGTCAGGGCAGGACTCCTCAAATGTAGACGGGTAGAGGCGCGCCTCGCTTGGAGAACCAGCCTCACCGTCCGCGGAGAAAGAAGGGGAGCGGCGGCTGCGCTCGGCGGGGACAGCGCCCCCACCGAGCGCGCGCGGCGCTCGGTCCTCACCTGGAGCGCTCAGGTAGGGCTTGGGCGGGGCGGGAGCCTGGCGCGCAGGCGCGGGACGGGGGCCTCGCCCCTGCCGACGTCGCAGGCTGGAGCTCACCTGGGAGACTCCAAGAGGAAGCGGAGCCTCGGTTCGGCCTCTCCTGGCAACGCAGGAGACCCAGCGGGAAGGCAGGAGGCGGCGGCGGCAGAGGCGGAGCTGGACTGAGCGGCAACTGTAGCGACAGCAACCGGAGGCGCCGCCGCCGCCACCACCTGCACCTGGCGCCCGGCCCAAGTCCAGCGCTCGCCCGGCCGCTGCTTCCCGCCGTCCTGCAGTGCCCACCCGCCAGGTAAGCGGGATGGCCGGCGCTCGGGCCAGGGGCCGGGAGACCAGTAGACCCTGGGCAGCGTCGGAGGGGGAGGTAGGACGGACTCGAACGTTCACGTAGTGGGGAGAGGGGTACGGTCCCAGTGGCCGGTTGGAGGTGGTCTCGAGAGCAGTGTTTTCAGTTGCCCCTCCCGAGACGCCGAAAGGGGCGTCCGAGGCCGGGGCAGGTGGCGCTCCGGGGGTTAGCCCTGTCGACCCTGGCAGTCTCTGTAGGGAGGCTCCCGAGGAGCGGGACCCGGGCAGAAGTCCCGGTGGCCCGCAGCTTGACCCTGGGAGAGTCTCAGAGTTGGGGGGGGGGGAGTCTGAGGGGCTGGGCTAGGCGCGACACGGCCGCGTTTGCACGCGTGCTAACAGGTTGCTGGTCTCCTCTCGTCCCTGTGCCGGGGCGGGCGGGGGTGGGGGGGTGGGGAACAAGTCCGCGACAGGAAAGGGCATGGCTTTGCCAGGCAACTTTCCCAGCCGGACCCCAGACAGTCCTAGGCTGGAAACCGCGGCCGCCCGAGCCATTTAAATGGTTTCCGAGTGGTTTGGAAAGCGCTCTGTGGTCGGGACGCGGACATCCCTCTCTCTCTCTCCTTCTCTCTGGTCTGCACACTTTTCCGGGTGCACTCCCTAAGCCAGAGCTGCGCCCACTTTCCGGTTTGATCGGGAAGAGTTATTTTCTTCGTGGCAGGAAGAAATCCAACTGCCACTCGCCAACCGCACACCATCTCGTTAAGGGACCTGTTGACTTAAGACCTGTATATCGCGGCTCTGGTTTGCCTGTGGCATATGACTCAAAGGTTCAGAAAAACTTTGTTTCAGGATCCTGCCACGACTGAACCTGGGTGTGCCAGGCCCAAATTCCTTTCCCTGCCTAATTAGGCGTTTCTGAAGCTTAAGAATTGAGAGTGAGACTGGTACTTACCTTAGCTTTTTATTTCCTTCTCTCTCAAAACTCATCAAAAACACTTCGCTTCAAACTCATCAAATAACTATATTTGTTTTTAGAACTCCCATAGAGTTAACAATTTTTCTGATTTTAGAAAATGTGATTAAGCCAGTGTAACTTGCTATAAAAGTTATACTACATAATGAAGACATTTAAATTCAAATTCTGTTGTTAAAAAATAAGAAAGTTGCTGTGTTTTCATTTGAGAATTTCCGGTTGTGAGAAAATCTGTTGCTGCTTTTACTGTATACATTTTCTTTGAGTCTGTGGCTAAAAGACATGAGGTTATAAAGTCATACCCTACAATTAGAATTCTTTAAATTTAATTTTTACTTTTTAATATCTGAAGTCTGGCATACATATTAGTTTAAACATTCTGAACAGCTTATTTGTACCAAGCATCTTTCTTTTTATATCGCTTTAACTATAGCATTTATACATAGAGATTTCTAATAATAAATGGCAATTCCAGTGCCTACATTTGTTTATGCTATATTTGCTGGTTTTTTAAAATATATTTTAAATTGCACACTTAACAAAATGCCTTGGGCAAATCCTATAGTTTGTTGTTGTTTTTATTAAATTTTTTGTTTAAATTCAATTTAATTAACATATACTATTAGTTTCAGAGGTAGAGTTCAGTTGTATATAACACCCAGTGCTCATTCCATCAAGTGCCCTCCTTAATGCCCATGACCCAGTTACCCCATCCCTCCACCCCCCTCCCCTCCAGGAACCCTCAGTTTGTTTCCCATAGTTGAGTCTCTTATGGTTTGCCTCCCTCTCTCTCATTTTTGTTTTATTTATTATTACTTTTTTAACGTGTAGTTAAAGGTAAAAAGTCAGCCACACAAACAGGACGTAATTATTAATGATATTTTCAAGCAATGCCTTCTGCTTTTGTCAAAAGAGCCTGGCTGGCCCTCCTAATCTCTCCATCCAGAGAAATACATATGTTAAATACTATTTAAAAATTAGAGGTAGGTATTGTTCCTCAAGTTTAGAGTATTAATTTAAACTTCATTGATTATTGAGCCAGATGTCATTAGACTATCTTTACTCTTAAGGGAGAAATGTAACATGTTTACATTAGCTATAGTAACAGTGTGCCTCAGTTAAACTATCTGTAAAATAGAAAAAAAACTTCCCTAGATTAAGATAATGAGGCTTTAAATCAGGAATCTCCTTTTGTCCTAGCATTATCAGGATCCCCTTCTCACTTTGGATATTTAGTCAATACATCCAGTTTGTGATAAACCAAAGCTGAAAGAGGTAGTCTAACTTCAGCAAGTTAGCAAGTTAGTGGTAGACATGGCATTATTATTTCCAGAGACTTGACTCAAGGTTCATGTTATCTTTTCACCACCCTTAATCCCACTTATCATAAGATGTTTATCTTTTTGTCTTTCATATAGTTTGTAAGGCCTTTATGAGTACAGAATAGTCCATTGTTCTTTGTCCAGCTCTGATTTACCCTAATTTCTACTTGTCCAGATGATGCCTGACTCCAGGGAGAATGAGTGAGGATGTCATTCTTCTCTTACTGTGGATCACATGTGTATTGAAGATGCCATGTGGATTGAGATGTTTAATCCTTCCTTGGTATTTCAGAGGCACAGTAAATTTTTTAAGTCAACATGGACAACATAATTTAGTCTTCTGATCTTTTATTGTATTGGCTTAAAATATATTTTATTAGGCAGCAACCCAGGGTCATCCCACCATTGGCAACACTCTAGATTTTTGGCTGGCAAGCACACTTCTTCAACATTAGTATTTTTAAAACTTCTTTTTGGAGTGTAATCCTCAATAAGAAATGTATTCTATGCTTCAATGCAGTACACTGTGTGTGTGTGTGTGTGTGTGTGTGTGTAACAAGACTCACAAAACAATATTTAACCTCACAATCTCTATTATTTAAAAAAAAATACTGGTTTCAACACACTGGATTGATTTTTATGACAAGTGGCTGGAACCTACAATGCAAAAAATGGCATCCTATTGAATTTGCATTTTTAAGGCTGATTTTTCTATTAGCATACTGTGTCATATACACACACATATTTGAAAGCAAGAAAACCAAACTGTACATTTTTAAAAATACAGAATTGTACTCTAATCCTCATTAAACATTTAGGACTTGAGACTCTAGGACCTGATGTGAGACTAAATCTCTCAAACATAGGAACTGTATGAAACTTCACTGTACATTACTGTGTTTTAAATGGATCCTTCAACATAGTGTAGTATGTTTGGGGACAGGGAAAACTGGAAAGGTTTTCCTGAGGGGATTTTGATGGTAACAATTACCAAGTGAAAGTTTGAGAGAGAAAAATAATTCTGTCCAGCTCTGTTCTAAGTTCTAAATTTTATGGCATATTAATAGTGCTAGATGGGATATTAAAAAAATTATTAAAGTAAACATAAGCCAGTTTATTGTTGTAGTCTGTTAACATTTTATATATATTTTTCTTTTACTATGAAACAGTTATAAGAGACAAATTCTAGGAATCAGACTCCTAGCCCCTAAAAAGACTTGATTGGGAGATTGAGAGGTTGGATGAGGTCCCTAAGTGACCTGTAGGGACATAGGCTTGGAAACTCTGATGGGATGATTAAGCCTTCCATAGAAGCTTTTAATTTTCACTCCTGATAGAAGGAATTTTTCTCCAAAAGAAAATAAGTATATTTAATATTTTGCAAATGATCAATGCCCAAATCATCTTGAGAACATATTCAGTTTTCTGGTTCATAAAGTGTAGAAATGCATTTGTTATGACAGATCTTTTATGGTTACAAAATCTGAGAAGGACATATTTTCAGTCACCTAATTATGCATCAGAATTATGCATCAATATCAGAATAATTCATTTTCTATAATTTGGGTAATTTTAACACAATTAATGTACTGCTAATAGAAACATTGAATTCAAATCAGTACCAGCAATGGCAAGAGACCAAAGTGCATTAATTTATGTGGTAAAGCAGAGACAAGTAGGACTCTGAATACCAGGTCATTAGTGACTATTGACAGATGAAATTTCCTTGAGTCATTCTCTGAGTTGGGCTCATATTTTTGACACCAAATAGAGTATTTCCCTGAGTATACATTTTCCCTATAATTGTTTTAGTTTCAAGCTGTCCCAACCAGTTTGTTCATCTATCCCATTGCCCGCTGGACATCTTTAAGATGTCATAATTATCTGAGATTATACCTGAGTAAACCAGAAACTTCATCCCATTAAAGACAAAAACAACCTGTTTTACTTCCTATATTTTATTTGTAGGTGTTACTACATTTAACATTTCTTATCCACAATTCCAACACCAAAAAAAAAAATCTCTGAAAACCAAAATGTTTTTGGTAACTCATTTGTCAGCAAAACTTGAACTCAATTTGCTACAAAACCTAAATGCACTGTCAGGAAGCTATTTATCATTTATTCCACTTGGTGGGATGTGTCTTGCTACAGATATGCTGCTATATTTGATTACTTGATATTGTTCCAGGAACTGCTGGGGGTACACAGTTACATTGGGTATGTAAACCATATCTGCTTTCTAACATCCAAAATACTCTGAATTTTTTTCAAAATATTCTGAATTTTAAAACATATTTGGCTCCAGGGATTTTGGAGAATGGCTTATGGATCTGTACCACTATCCAATGATCGTGGCAGAAATCAAGAAGTCATTTTTTACTCTCTTTTCTTAACCTCCACAACTGTCAGATAACTGAATCTTTTAATGTTTTCACCCTTCTTTCCCCCACAAATTCTACTTCTCTAGTTCAGGGTCTCATCAACTCTTAACTGGGGTACCATAGCCACCTGCTACCTGAAATCTTAGCAGATGGTGTTAAGCTCAAATCCATTCTCAGCAGAACCCCTCAGCTAATGATCTCTAAAAATGTAAACCTGAATTTCTCCTCTGCTTAAATTTTTTAATAACTTCTCATTGCTCAGGATAGAACCCATGGTCCTTAAAATGGTCCCACAAAATCTGACCCTTGTTTAACTGTGGTTCTGTAC